TTCCATGATTGATTCAATATTGGAAATACAATATTAGCCCAATCATGGAAATTGACATTGTGATCGTCAATATTTCACCAATATCGAATTGATATTGGTAAATAAATATCGGCTGGAAACAAAATTTCAATATTATTACAACATTGCTGGACAATGAAATGCAATATTCACTAACCATCATAAATTGGATATTGAGTCAATATTTTTTTCCAAGATCGATTTGATATTGGAAATGCAATATCAGCCCATCATGAAAATTGACATATTGTGATCGTTAATATTCCTCCAATATCAAATAAATATTGACAAATTGATATCGGCTGGTCACAAAATTTCAATGTTATCAAAATATTGGCAATGGATTGATGATCGAATATTGAAATGAAAAATTGGTTTGATATTGGTGCAATCTAGTAATTTCATATTCAATATTCGAATATTGGGCTAATATGAAACCAAGTTCTAGCCAATATGATGTTCTACCTGGGACAATGGTTAGGAGGCTTCGAAAGTCTCATTCCCCTTTCAACAATCTGTAATTCAATGGTTGATAGCTAATGAGTGATCACTCATAAATAAAAAACATAAACAATTTTTCACGAATCACTCAAATCACACAAAGAAACCTTGGAAAGCTTTGATCATCGTAGAGTCGATATTAATGAAGTATCTTCATGTTTTAGGTTGGTTCTCGACTTCTGATATATGTGGTATCCTGCACGAGATGATCAAGAGAGTTGAAAGAAACTGAGAAAACCATCCCTTACAACACAGGAATGTCCTAGGTACGTCCTTTTTTTGTCACGCGGTACAAGGACATGATTGGGGCATCCAGGCAAACATGATTTTTGCGGCCCTCTAAAGGTACAATGAAACTTGCCGGCGAGCGGTAACAGCGGTCCTCTATTGTACAACTAAATTGGGCCGGCTAGCCCGTGTCCCGGCGGCCGACAGCCGACCGCCTCTCTAGAGCCATCAGTATGCCGCTTATTACATTGCAGGGCTTCTGATGGGCAGAAGCAAGTACTCAAATGTACCGCATTCATGGCATATCTTTGGCCCGATTGAGACTTTTCAGAGATTGCCATTAATTGGCCGCTTGAGAATTTTTATTCCCCCGATAGAGGAGTTTTTCAGGGCCGTTGGTTAACGGGGTTGAATGAATTCAATATTCATGGTATTCTGTTTTTTGATGTCCTATTTTTCAATTAGGTTTGTCAAAAAATATACAGGGTAATGCATATATCTCAGTGAAAATAAGTTTTTTGAAAGGTATCCCAGTTTATATCACCACTTGGAAAGCAAAGTATCTCATTTTCACTCAGATCTTCATCACTCTCTTTATTTTCAAACTGGTTGAAAAATGTGGAACTTCAAAAAACAGAATTGAGGTCTCCCAGTGTGTTGTGAATCCTCTCTGGGTATAACAGAAATGTGTAATTCACTCCTTACCTGAAGTTGTTGAATAATTACATAAGAATCTCTGAGGTAGCATCCTGATATCACAGTTATTTCCAGGAAACTAGCAGTATAAATACTCCATACATATTATTGCCATGATCTCAAACAATACATATCACAACTATAGAAACATCAAACATCTTAATTTTAGTTCTACATATCACTCTGTATACTCATCATGAAAAGGTACCTACAATTCACAATTATAGGTATTTGTGTTTCATCATGCAGGATAGATATTTGTTTATCCACTTGTTTCAAAAAGTTGCTAACTCTAGGTCGAAAATTACATCACCTATGTAGGTACCGAGGTAGGTACCTACCTAATAACTTGAAAGTTATGTATGTAGGTAATCAGTTATTATATTGATCAAGTAATTGTCAACAATAGAGTTCAATCCACAAGAAAACAATTCCCAGATATGGAGAACCTCACTCTTTATCATATTGATATGAGTGTTGCCTGGAAGTGAGATATCATATACCATGAAGAAATTTATATCATAGTCTGGATCATTGTGTGATTTCTTCATTAATATCTGTGATTGATGGGCTTCTGGTTGTTGATTTTGTAGCTGGAAGATTGAATGATTTCATTCTCTACTAATCCAAAACATGCAACATTATACATACCTACAGTAATTCTTGAAATATAACTGTTTCTTCAAGTAGGTAGGTACTCTTAGATTTTCGTTTTGAAAATAGATTTATGATTCATATGTAATGAAAGCTCATGCATCTTCAAAGTCCTCATATTATTATATTATTAGATTCTTGTGTATCCGCTAAACATGTCCAAACTATTATTGCATCTGTTTGTCCAATGATGTTTGTAAGATTATTATCTAAAATAGAGGAATTATTTAGCTGTGCAGGTTTGTATATATGTTTGTTCCTCACTCACTCTGTAATATCCTTCCATTTCGTATAAAAATCCACTAGAAAACCAAACACGAACTGAACACAGTACTGAAATCTCTGTTGAGAGTGTTGAAACAACATAAACAAAGAAATTAATATACGCCATACTGAATCATTGTTACCACTGCAAAATGATCGAAATGAAAACTCACGCGAGCGAGGGATGCCAACGTTGAGTGAGTGATGACGGCACACTCCGTTGAAATTTTGATGGCCCTTGGACTTGGATACATACAGCGGAAGACTAGCGGCTGGGAAACAGAGGCCCATCATAAGTATGTGTACATTCTGCCTCCGTCATATAATCCTTCGAAATTATATGGAGGGCCTTTCGAGACATGCCGGCATCGACATTTGCCTGCCGTTCTCGCCATGGGCCCGGCTTCCTACCGCCTTTCGATGTTTGCTGGGGGGATGTCCCGCCTGGTACATCCTTAGGTTATCCTATTCTTGTCCCTGGAATATCTGATATCCATTCACATCAGAGTCATTGAATTTCATCAAAGTATTGAGTTGCATTTTTTCGGAAATGTTTATTTTTCTTCCGGAAAATAATCGTGATGAAAATAAAGAATAAAGTTTCAGAACTTCCTAAGAAATTACCATTTTTCGTAAACAGAAATCGTACATGCATAATGCCCCTCATTTTTAAACACTCAACAATGATATAAGAATCATACTCAAATCCTAACAAAGTTGAATCTATTCAGGTTTCTGTAGTTAAGTCCTGTTCATAAATCTGTTTAGTACATAAATCTTCAGGCTCAATAGCCAATGGAGTAAGATGCGTGCCTGATGAGCCAAAGGTCCCGGGTTCAATCCGTACTATACCTACATTTTTTTTCCTTTTGTCGAAGGGATTTTCCTGGGATATCCTTGGGACGTCCTAGGGATATCCTTTCTTTGTACTTGGTACATCTCAGGGACGTACCAGAAGGACATCCCTAGGATGCCTCTTTTTGTGGAAAGCGGATGTCCTTGGGACGTCCCTAGTATGTACCATGTCCCGATTCATGATATCCCAGGGACGTCCTCGTAGAAAATGGAGGACGTCCCTGGGTCGCCCTAGGACGTACTCGTGTTGTTAGGGATCAAGGAAACCTACCACGACCTCCGTCTGATGAATGTAGAGTGCTTCTGTGATAGTTCTTGTCTTTCAGAGCTCATGAAACAATGATCAATATTTCCGTTGGTATGTTTTTCACAGGCTGTACGAACTATATTCAGAAAATAAATGATTCTGAGGTGAGTTATTGTTTGATTAATTAAGATTTGATTGTTGTTGTTGAAAATGAAATATAATCCGTACCAACGTGCCTCTGAAACATTCAAGAAATATTCAAATGTGAATATTCTTGAAATATTCCAAAATGAATATACGAGGAATATTCCAGATGGAATATTCTAAAGTGAATATTCCTAGAATATTCCAGTTGGATAATGCAGGGAGAATTCAGGTATGGATATTCCAGGAATATTCCCAACTGAATATTCTGTTCCTGTATATTCATGGAATATTCTAATGATATTCCCATGTGTTTCAATGAAATTGTAAAGTATGGAAATAAACCAATCACTATTTCATAGATGTGAGTCATTGATTTTGAAATCTGTAGTAGTAGTCCATCGTATTCCAAAGTAAAGTGGTTATATTACCAGAGATCAAGAACACAAAGTCGTCTCTACAATTTTGATAGGTTGTGATCAAAGTACTCAAAGATCACCGTACATCTTAAGAGCCCATATGGAACTGGAAGTGTTTATGATCCGCTTCTGAACAAAACAATTCAATGAATTGTTATGGACAGTATTATTCAACTCGATTACTTGACTTATGGTTGAGGAGTTGATCTGACAGTCTGAAAGTCCTGAGTTCGAGCTCATCTTGGGTCAGCTTTTTTCAATTATGAATATGAATAAAGGAATATTCCCGGAATATTCATTTATTCATATTCCTGTATCATTCCTGGAATATTCCGAATATTATCTGAATATTTCTAGAATATTATAGGTACATTCTGAATATATAGAGAATATTCCTCGTGTAATATTCCGAGAATATTTAAAATTTTCCCCACCAGCACATTCAGGAAATATTCCATAGATGATATGTATATCCCTGGAATGTTCATAAATATTCGCTATATCCAAAAAAATATTCTATGAATATTCATGGAATATCTGGTGCTGTCTAGGCACGTGTCTGCCACCAAAAAAATCACCACCATCTTCTTACTCATCGCATTCAGGGATAATCATTGGGAGTTTCTAACAAATTACAAATCAAATTCATGTGATATTTCCTTTACTTATGCGTTTATTCTTATCATCAGACTGAAACTGGATTGTTTCGGTATTTCAGAGAGCTCTGGGAGGGGACCAGACCACATAGAACTCACCCTCACTCACGCCATCGATCCAGAGAGAACGTGTCTTGCAGTGAGTACTCATGTGTCATAAAGTTTCCGGAGAGGAAGCCGTTTTTATTGCAGGGCGGTAGTGACAAAATACTAAAGAACACTCTGTTAAAGTTAGCCAAACTGAAAAATTTGAAATGGATAGTAGACTGTTTTATTAAGATTGAAAAGTGATACAAGCGAATTTTGCATTTGTGGGGTGGAGCGTCTAGCGAAGCCTTGCAAGAGCAGAAATAATAGATCCTTCGAATACATTGTCGAGTTCATCTGAAAGTCATTCTACATCGTGCAAACATAAGGCTGATTAGTGAAGAACTGATTTGTTGGAATGTTATCAGAAGGAAACTTCCCCATTCCTTGGAAACTTAAATTATCTGGTACAATACGAACGAATAAGCAGCTTTGACCATCTGAAAGAAGAAGCATATCAAAACAAAGTAAGCACTACAATTCTGATTTCATACTGACGGTCACTATCAAGTCATTGTCGATCACTCCAAAATTGCCGATGGTGAGTACAAGTGGTCTTTGTACTCTGGCCATCACAATCAACAGACTTCTCTTCACTTCAGAACTTTGGTCGTACCAGTTACTGTTGAATATTCTTTGGCTCAAATATGTGCTCTGAAAATGCAAAAACAATTCCAATATCCTAGTTGACAAAAACTACTGACATCTGACATGGAAAAATATCTTCAGACAGTGAAATATTACATCCCATTGAGAATATCATCCGAATTGACCATATTTTCTAGAAGTTAGGGCGGATTCATGAAATATTCAATATAATTACATTTTCACTACATTATAGTTGCATTTACACTTGCCGAGAGGAACCGGTCCAAGCAATTCATGACCCTAATCAACTGATTATTCGAGGTTATGTGCTTTTCTGGGATCATACAAATGATCACAGAATCTTTAAGGCTTTGTCTTTATTGTGAATATAATATCTGAGGAGAATTACAAATAGTTTTTGTGAAGATGATGATCATTCAATGGTTCTGATCTTGCAAACCAGTAGTTTTCATTCGAAAAATAATGTGATTATAATGTATAATTGAAAGTTGATCAACTTCCCAGTGCACTAATGTGTTGATAATGTGATGGAAATTTGTTAATGTGTTGCATGAACGTTTTCTAGAAAATATCAGCTTCCAACATTTCTAATTCCTACTGTAATGGGAATGGTAATATAATGACTGTTGAATGGATCTACCTCTATACTTTTCGAATTTCGAAGATTACTACAAAGGTGTTAATTGTCAAATGTGAATAAAATCAGCGCAACCTTCTGTCCCTATCGTCCCTAGGATCGCACGATGTTCTTTGAACATTATAGGGATTCCCTTTCGTGCGCTCCAAGCGATAGCAAAAATTATTGTATTTCTTCGGAGTAGAAAACTGTAGAATTCTTCATTATTATTGCAAATGAGAGCAAGGAAAACTCCTTGGGCCTTTCCTTCTACAATTCAATTATCATTGAGCAACCCCTCAAAAGTCCTCAAGAGACTGACATCGAATAATGACAATGCATTTGACGGATGACACTCAATGTAATGTGATAAACCATTTTTTCGTCGACCTCTATAAAATATCACATTTCAACTCCTGATTTCCGGACGAAAACCTGAGTAGTTTTCGTCTGCTGCAGGGTTTCCAGTTCTACTGAATTCTCATGATGTTGAATATTTCAACAAATAGAAAACCTCAAGTTTTGAAAATACTTCAGAAGGCTAACGTTGTTTTACTCCCAATGTGGAATTTAACGATCAATTCTCACATTAACGGAGAAGAAGATATCATAGCAAAAGGCCGAATGACACGAGAAGAAGAAGTATATTTATCAGTTCTACTAACCCTGACCTCAATAATAATAAATGATTATAATTAGTAAAAATCCGATATTTCATTGAAACTTTGACGCCCTGTATCTGAAAAACGAAATTTAGCAACATACTCCAATGACACCCAGTATAACGCTTGCATGTTTGTGCGATTGAATATTAAATATGCAGCATTTGTGATGCAGCAGTGATAAGACTGCCTGATCAATGTGTTGCGTTTCAAGTGAGTCTGTGATTTCATTTGAAGTGGACATCAATTTTTGCTATTCCTGACCTAAACATCTTTGTGATAAAACATGGAACATTCAGAAATACAACAGTGATGAAGCAGCCGCATGTTTTGATTATACTCACCTCTAATGATAACTCATTCACATGATAATAAATCAGGAAAGCTTGACCTACTATAATTGACAAAAAGCTCAGATGAAATAGAACATCCTTTCCATTGGTTGCGCGCATCACCTGTAATTCGATTAAAAAAATTCATTAGATTCGAGAATTATTGCAAATATAAAACTTACGGTCAGAAGCGATACTGTTATATGATAAGATTTGAATAAGAATTCTGTGAAGAAGTACCATTTCAAAGATTCATTGGCATTTTTAACGTATCTAGAATTGAAAAAAAAAATTAATTAAAAATCAACATTTCCAGAATTCCTAACAAGAAGTTCAAGGAGAGCAAGTTCTGAACAAAAATATTTCCAGATACATCATAAACAGGATGTAAATTGAAACATACAGGGTCTTTCATCAAAACCGTGATCATCCTAATAACTAGAAGATAACCGAATCCTCTATCAGAAATCGCCAATACTCGTCGAATTTCATGCTTGGAGAACCAATTTTCACAATTGGAATAATTTGATGTGTTCATCTTTCTATTTCCTAGCAACCCCAACTTTTGAATTTCAAATTGAACTACTCTACTTCCAATAAATCGAATGCGAATACTCTGGTGCATCATTTTTGGACATTGGTTGAGATACATCGAGAATTTGCATTAATCATCTGATGAAAATATGAATCCTCCATGTCACTTTATGCCACAACAAACACACAATGAGGATTTGGCTATGAAAATCAAAACGATGAGATTTCCACCAAAGTCCTACTCACTCGACATGTTTCACTGAAGCGAGGATTGCTTATATAGCTGTGTGCACGTGTATATGAAAATATTTGTACAAAACTTGTGTTTCGTGCAGTATAATTCATTTAAAATATCGTAGCAAAGCGCATAATGCTATTAGCCATCATCAGTGCACACCTGTAAGTGAATAATCAGCTCTCAGCTTTTGACAGGAAATAGCCGGCAATGAACTTGAAATTCGAAATTAGTAAAAGTTAGGTTACTTACTCGTCGGGTTGACCAGAAATTCTTGATGATATATCTTAGGTTGTGTTTGGTAGGAAATTCTCCATGAAAATATCTTTGGTCCTGTTAGGTATTATTGCTATTCACAGTGCAAACATGTTAGAATTCGTTTATCAAATTGAGATGAATTATGGATAACATGTAGCAGTCAACATGACTGAATGTATTCTGTCGTGTTGAAGTAACCTTGATCAATGACAGTATAGAAGGTGCTGAAATGGATAATGCAAAAATTCCGAAGTTGATAATATATGACTTCACTCATATGAGGTGATATGTGTAATGTCACAGAAATCCTCAAACCAATTTTGACAACAATTATTATGTAAACATTGTGAGAATTATGAATGAATGGATAACCAGATCTCTAGATAGCAATTATTGTACCGATCTATTGAGAACTCATCCAACCATTCTCTTAGCAATTCAGATGATCCAACTGTAATAAGTGACCACAACAGTAGAAACTCCGTTTAGCCTGAGAGCTCATTTTGGTCAGTCCAGATGAAATCACCAGTGGAAGGAATTCATATATTCATCACACTAATTCAACAAAATGTTTCACTAACACAGTAGCCCCTTCAGAAGAAATAATTGTCTAATAATCTCAACTAACATTGATTTCTTCAATTTCTATATTCATCTTCCCAACCTAAAGAATCTAATTACCTGTGCAAAGGTCATATACCCCTGATTCAGGAAGTTTATCTCACCATCAGGAACAATTATCAGAATTATCAGAACTGCAACCTATTTCGGATGATCAACTGAAAAATTAACTTTATTTCTACATAAACATAAACGTGATTATCTTGGGACGAGTGAAACCTTGAAGGGGGTTTGTGCAAGTGACTTCCGTGTGTTTTGTGACTTTGGTAGTAGGAGACCTTGAGTTGAAGTGAGACCTTATAGAGGGTTGATCGAGTAAACTTCATGTGTGTGTGACCTTGGAAATAAGCGAATTCGAGTCATAGAGGGACTTTGACCTCAAGAAATGGTTGACTGAGTGACCTCCGTGTGTGATCTTGGGAGTTAGCGACTTAAAATTGTAGACGGTGTTTGACCTTGAAGAAAAGTTGCCTCGTGTGCGACTTTGAAAATTATATCAATGATATTAGCGGTTTATACGGTTACCATCTGACGTTGCGATGACGATAATACTTTCAATCTATGCCAGGAGTCAGGAATATTTTCGGCTAGTTTCAACGTCATCGCAACGTCAGACGATGACCTTGGAAAGGGCGAATAATAATGAGATATACCATCTCGAATAGACTGGTAATATGAACTGTGATACTTTTTACATATTCCACCACTCAACGAAGAGGATAATAAGATGGCAGTTCCTAAAATTGATATATTTTTTTATTTCTTGAATAGAATCATGATGCTAGTACCTACATTCGATATTTCTTCAGAATTTTCTAGTCAATTTTTGGGTGCTAGAATCATCAATAATGCCACGGTATTTTTCAAACAGCTAGAATTTTACCGCAAGTGAAAACTGACGTCACGATTTCGTAAGTACCCAGATAGCACACAATTGCCTAGGGTCATCCTCAATGTGTCGCCAAACGCCTAGAGAGGACGTTATGTTTTCTACAACCTAAGAACATCATCAGGCGTAGATTTAGCGCCGTAATTGTCCTAGAAAAATTCTTTCAGTGACAGCCTGAGGCTGCAGCGGATGTCGTGCCTACGGATGTCTTCAGATGACATTCCATGAAAAAACGTGTCGACGAAGCCAAAAGAAAGAAGAAGAAGAGAACTAGAAATACTAGAAGTGAGGTTATGTCCCATGATAATATTTCTCTGAGAAATTGATGAGATAATAAGAAATACAGGTGAGTAATTGATCAAATCATTGATAGTAGGTACAAGACATGAAATATTAAATATATTATTTCATTTCAGGAGGTTAATTGAGAACACAAACTTGATGATATCATCAGAGCAGATATGTTTCATTCCAAGATATTTTGGCTTCTACGGAATCTATCAAACATTGTATGAAGGCTTGAACTTTCAGTGGATTCAATAAAGATAGGTACCTACCTGAATCAACTCATTGATAATAGGTAGTGGACATGAAATATTAATACATTATTATTTGTTCCAGGAGGTTATTGATGAGAACACAAACTTGATCATTATATCATCAGATCAGAGATGTTTGATATTCCAACATATTTTGGCTTCTTTGGAATCTATAAAAGATTGTATGCAGGCTTTAACTTTCAGTATAGATACAATCAAGGTACTAGGTAGGAATCAAATCATATTGATAGTAGGTATACCTACTGGACATAAAATATCAATACATTATTTATTTCGGAAGGTTATTGAGAACACAAACTTTTGATGCTATCATCAGAGCAGAAATGTTCAATCAAATATATTTTGGCTTCTTCCGAATCTATGAAAGATTGTATGCAGGCTTGAACTTTCAGTAAATTGAGCATCAGATAGTATGTACAGGGTTCAGAAATCACAAATGATAACAAGAAGAAAACTTACAACAGAATTAGAACAAAACAAAAATCATCATAATGTATCATTATGTTGATGATGATTTTTCTCTGAGGAAGAAAGGAACGAAGGTAGGTGGATCAAATCATAGATTCATAGATATTACATGGATATGAGATATTGAATCATTGTTTGTTTCAGAAGGTTATGGAAAACACAAACTTGATGTCATCTATAAAATATTGTATGAAGGCTTCAACATTTAGTAGATTCAGCATTAGGAAGCATATCCAGAGTTGAGAAATCAAAAACAACATAGAGAAATATTACCAATGGGCAATAACTTCTAGTAGTGCTCAACAAGAAGCTGAGATACATTTTTTCGAAACCAAACTCGAAAATCTTCACCAATAAGTTATAAATAATAGGATGTAAGTTTTGATTTGAACATATTATTATTCCAGGGAAATTTTGCAAATATCATTATATAAATATTTTATCAATAAAATTCCATTTTTATTGAACTATCCCTAGACATTTTTCAATACTACCTAGAGATGTTCCCATAATGCCCTATACATATCTCAGAAGACCTTATAGGGATGTTCTAAGACGTTATTAGGATGTAGAAAACGGTAACAGGAGGACGAGCTTGGGACGTAGTCAGGCTCGCCCTCGACGTCCTGAGGACATCATTGTGAACGCCTCAGAATGGCCTCAAAAGGTATTTGTGCTATCTGGGTAGGGGCAGACCATAGCACAGTAGCCATATGTTGAAATTTGTAATGGAGCGTATTTTGATACTCCATTACTAAGGAACGGTTCCTATCCAAATGCCTGTCTTATCGTATTTATTTCTACTCTGAGCTGATATTCCAGTGAAATCTGTATCACCCAAGACACAGGGTTCTCATAATTGCTTATAACCCAGATACTAACCTCTTACTTGACATCTACCAGATATTGAGAATATGCAGTTCGTCACCCACTCCCTCATGGAATACCTATTCTGAAAGATATCAGTCTCGTATACCAACTACTTTCGTGTCATTATAGCTCTGTCCTAGCTCCAGAAATTGACTCTTAGATCGACGAGTACGGGAAGTTCTTTGGTAGACTCTATTATGTTTGGAAAGCAATCCTGATGAATAGAGTAAAATGTAATTCTGTCTTGGAGATACGGGAGGACTTTCTGCAACTTTCGAAAGCCCCTGAATGTGAGATTTCCTAAAAATTCATAATTTCCACATATTCGGCCTTGACCTTGAAGATGCAAATATTCACCTAGCAATAACTCAAATATGTCTGCTTGTAGGATATGAATATCGATTCAGTAGCTTCAGAAGAGTAGTTTGATCATGTGCCTGTGCCCTTCTGGCCAAGAAAATATTATTTCCGCGTTTTTCATCTTCCAAGGACTACTTCGGCTTTCAAGGTTGTTACTGGAATTTTCACGAGGTCAGTCGAAACTGACCAATCAGGAGTACGGATAGCTGTTGGCCTTGCTCAATTTGCGTTAAGGTCTAGGCAGGACATAAATACTCGATCCATTGGAGCGAGCAGGCTGTTACCCAGACGACACCTCATATTCCTGGAATATGCCTACAACATCCAATTTTTTAATGAATATTGCATTATCCCTGGAGTATTCCATGAATATGTGCCTAATCTGATATTCCCAAAAATATTCCTGGAATATATTTTTCGAATATTCATTAGATATCCCCAAAAAATGTTCCCAGAATATGTTTTTCGAATATCCATTAGATATACTTATCGAAAATTCCAGGAATATTTCAAAAACAGATTGTCGGATTGCCGACCTATCCCGAATGGAGACGACACGAGTCTATCGGTCATCGCCTTTTGTTCCACATTACACAGTCACCTAGTGAAGGACGTGATATTAACATGGACGCGAATATGCCGCGATTGGTTTCATTTCAACAGATGAAAATAGCATGGAATTATTAGTTTCAGCAGAAGTGCCAGAATGTGTATCGATTAGTGTGAATAGTGTTAATATCAATACAAAGTTTGAGACGTTTGAAGTTAGTTACAATAGAAGAATGGAACATTAACCTAGGATGTACTTCTCTTTCGGCCGCCATTAAACTGAAAAAGATCAAAAGGAGACTTAATATGGTACTCAATACCAGTGTCAGGCCCAAAGCAAAGGTGAGTGGATTCAATCAATTCTCATGTTCAAGTATTTGTTATGTTATAATAATTCCAGATCCTGTTGAATTCATCACCGCTACCGATCAAGAGAAGAAGGATATCATATGATATATAAAGTGCAAGCTTCAAGTATCTTACATATCTACATCCTGTGTATGTTGATTTCTATCCTTTACATAATAAAGTACATTTCATATGGATATTTCATTCTAATAATGATTGAAAAGCATATTGTACGCAAAAACAAAAAACATATTCCTAGCATATGCCACTTATATATTATGGAAGATTAACAGATATTCCTGGAATCTCTTTCATGGTGACTTTGGATATTCCTGGAACATGCATATCATATGTTTTGGAGGATATGGAATATCCATTGCATATGCCAATATTCCATCGCAATAGGAATAAAATATTCATTGAATATGATTGTGCCGTCTGGGTAGTCCAGCAGTTAGTCCGACAGTCAGTTATTTCTTGAGTTCTTGAGTTCGGTTCTCCGGTATCACTTTTCAGTCGGTTTACCAGTGTTCCTGTGCTTGCGTTATTTATCCCGTTCACAATTCCAGATAGTTTTTCAGTTAATTATTCGAATTACTTTTCCAGTTATTTTTCCGGTTAGTCATTCCAGATTGCTTCGCTTTCATTTTCAGAATCCAGTCACTTTTCACATTCCAGTCAATTCAATTCCAGCATATAGTTTTCCTGTTTATGCCTTCTGCTACAATTCAGAAATCATAACCTAGCTTCAATTATTTCATTATTTTCCGGAAAATTCATCGAGTGTTTCGATTTGCGTCTTCCGTGCCGATATCCGAAACGTCGCGGTCGCGCCAGTAGCAGTATCGAGTGTTTCGCAGCCAGTAGTACTCCTGTTTCATACAAGTAAGCTATATCGAATTGGATTGCGTACGCTTATTGCTTGTAGTTAATCAGTGACCACCCTGTACTAAGTGAGTTTTGTAATTAGTAAACTATCGCCTGAGTAGATTGAAAACTTGTCTGGTGAAGAATACTTCACGTTCAGAAGTTCAGAGTTCATAAGTAACGTAGATACTGTTTTGAAAATAGTAGTGTCTCCTAGGTTTTGCTCTGCGGCTCAACCAATGGGTGGACGTCGCCACGAGCTCAGGAACACCCTACTCCGATTGTTTCGAGATTGGAAGACCGTGTGTGTGGATCCAGGGCCTGTCTCCTTTGTTTGAGAAAAGTTGGATTCGCAAGTCCACCTGCAGACGAATCGCGAATACTGCTATGAGCCAGAGTTTGAGTACTCCCTGAAGGAGTACTCTCCACCAGTCTGATGCGCGTTGATGATTCAACTGAAGAATTTCATTCTTGTGGTCATTCCTGACGATATTGATCGTTACAGTTGAAGAGGTGTCATACCCTTAATTAGTATGATATTGACAAATTTTGAGGCGTTCAGAAAAGGGGCTCATGATATTTAGAAAAGTAAAAAACGTTCAATTAACATGATGTTGACGAATTCAGAGCCGTGCGAAGGGTGATTCTGTAATGTGGACAAATTGAAATTCCAGTCTTATTATCATTGGTTTTTACTTATTCAAGGTGAGCATTCAAGTGATATATTGACGCATTGAAGAGGATACATCATTCAATGAGTTTGATATGGAATCATTTTTAATTATTTCATCAAGTGTTGTTCCCTGTTCGCCCAGCAAAAATTTTCTTGTATCATCATTTATGAATGAAAATTCAGGATCGCAACTCTGGCTTCTGATGTTTCTCGAACCGTACAATTTGATGGTTTTGTCAAAAAAAAAATCACCAATTTTTGCCTCCCAAAAAAATTTTCAAGTATTTTTTCTTCATCAATTTTCCCGTCCTATTTCTGATGAAGCATTTTTTTTTAGATGATTATTTTCTTTATTTTTACTACCCTGACCCGATCACGACACGATCAAAAATTTTTTTATTGGGCGAACAGAGAACAAAACAACAAAATTATTTAAAATGTTTCCATATGATGTGAAAATTTTTAATCGCATTAATTAATTGATTAATTAATGTACTAATGGATTCTCTTATTAAATTATGAAACTGGAATTTCAATCTGTCTACGATTGCAGAATCACCTTTTGCACGCCTCTGAATTTGACAACATCATGCTAATTGAATTTATGAAAACTTTTTTACTGTGACGATCAATGAATCTGTTGTTTTTTTCCAATAAAAACGTTTTTCAAGTTTCTGAATATCATACGCCCCTTTTCTGCACGCCTCTGAATTTGTCAACATCATGCTTATTAAGGGTATGACACGTATTCAACTGTAACGCTCAATAAAACTGATGAATTTTTTCAATAAAAACGAATTTTTCGTTTATGAATATCATGAACCCCTTTTTGCGCGCCACTGGTGTTAATTATCTTCAGTAGGAATATCCCTCATTGCAGTTCAGATGTTGGCTGTTATTGCTCAACTAGGAAAGGCCACATTTTGAAATAAAAATGGAATTTTATAAAATGGCGATTTTTCCATAGCAACGCAATTTATCAAGAGAATCTCAAGGACGTCCGAGGTATCGGACCAATCATTCACCCAACATCTAAAAAAAAAAAATTCTAGGGTCCCTCACATTTCCCAAATTAATGGTCAAAAATTTGAATTTTTTCCGGCTCTTAATTCACACTCTGTACAAAGAGAACGAATCACAAAAATGAAAACCCGACGCCAATGACGCATAGCCCAAGGATGACGCTTCTACCTTTGGTTGGAAATCCAACATCGGCCGAGAAATGTACGAGTTATAGGTTATCAAAATTTGTCAATATTTTGGTTGTCCCACTCCATCTGGTAAGTAGTTTCGTTAGGGTTAGTACTTCGAAATAATGAAATAAAATTTTTCTCTGAAACAGGCCTATTTAACAAGTGAATTCGCCAGGGAAACCCAATTGAGCCTGATGAGAGCTCACACAAGTTATTCCAGATGTAATGAAAAGTTGAATAAATTAATCTGTCTGACAACCTATTAACACAAAAAAGGTTTGAGAATTCGGTTTGTGACAAGTTATTCTCAGAAATCTATGTGAAAACTCAAGCCTCCAATTGCGAAGGAAGTGAAAAGTCT